AATTTTGTGTACATGTGACTGCGAAGTCGATTGTGTCCTGTTTTAAGGCGTAGAATAATAACTTGCACTGGTCTGTCCATAAAATGGTAATCGTCTTGTGCCGGTTATAGTGGCTTTCTGGTTGAGTTGATTATTATCTTTTTTTAATGTCGCCGGACATTACCAGATGCATTGTAATGGTCAACGAAGCAACAATGCTATGTTGACGTTAATTATAAACGTTGATGCAAGAATGATGCCTATGATTCGAAAGTCATTATTACTAATATTACAGGCGCACACACTGACTGACTGACTTTCTACCCCACCAGGACATCACACAAGCGATAAACACCCGATGACACAAAGTGCCACCATGCGGATGAGGATCGCCGTGGAGAGGTCCCAGAAACCGCGTTCAGACATTTGGCCATATGTATGGCCTGCCTATATTGCGGCCCCTGGCAAAAGCCAGAGTAGGGCTTCAAATGACAAAAAATTTCGTCCTAAAAAGGACGAAGGTTGATAAGGCGCACACACATGTCAGGGTGGACAGTTCAGTCCCATATGCCAGTACGTCGATCTAGTTTACCAGAATAAATTAAAATTAGGTGCTCTGTAGATAATATACCTATATTTCTGCGAATAGCTCTAGTCTTAAAATCATGCACTGGAACACGAAGGGAGTTTAAAAAAATTAAAACTAGGAAAAAACCATACAAGATTAATTTTTTTTTTTTTGGAGAGCCCATTGTCAGCCGAGTACGTACGTGTTCCGGGCGAATACCCAGCGTCTGTTAGTAGAAGATCGTCTCCCCTGATTAAGACCCGACAATGGAGGTAGGTAAACTCGGTCGTTGTCGGAAAATGTTTCTGTACTGATAATATATACTTAGCCTGGTGTTTATTTGTTGCTGCAAGATCAGACAGTCAATATTTACTTGCATTGTTTGTCAAATACGGTGGTTTCAGATAGGTGCTTAAGCTGGCACTCACTATCACTAATAAGCGTTTTGAGTTTCAGCCCAGTTTTTGTGCAGAGTAGCCGTTTGTCACTTTGTGCGTCTGCACTAGTACTAGGTAATTTGTAATGTCTCAAATCTGACAAAACAACATTCTAATTCTTCTTCTTCTTCGCGTTCACCAGTGTAAGGGCGGAAAGTTCTGGTTGTTCGTCTACTTATGGACTGCAGTCCTGTTCCAGAACTTGCGTGTGCGACCGTTACTATTTTAACAGATCTAATTATTTGTATGCAGACTGTTACTGTTGGTTCTTTGCCTTTCAGGCAGATGCACTCTGACTTTGCAGGAAGCTCCCAATTAGTCGACTCTTACAACATACTTTTTGGGTAGGCAGTGGGTCTATTTTTGTTTTCCCTATAACAAGGCCCCAGAACCCACACAGGGAAAAACAACATTCAAACTCTAAGAGAAGCCTCAGCCTCCAATGAACTCTCGGCTTGTTCTAGTCGAGGTTCCATCTTTATTGCAGACAGTTGCTCTCTCAGTCCTTAAGAAAGAGAATAGGGGCTTTTGAGCTGAAATGCTATAGAAAGATTGTCAGAATATCTTGGACAAAGAAGATGAGAAATATTGACATCTTAAAAGATCTGAACATCAAGGAAGATTGGCTAATAAACAGCATCCTTTCTCGAAGGCTGAAATATTTTGGTCATATCAAGCGCCACGACGGATTGGAAAAAATTATAGCAGAAGGCATGGTACCAGGAAGGAGGGGCAGAGGCCGACTGACACGAAGATGGGCACAAGATATAAGTGACTCCTTGAGTGTGAAAGTTCATGAGGCGGGAGAACTGGCAAGAGACCGAGTTTCTTACAGGCAGACTGTCATGAGAGTGATGTTCTGCAAAGGACCTGCTACATGATGATGATGACTCCATAATTACTCCTACTCCTTGACTTATTGCATACCTAGAGTACTATCCTAGCCATGGTTGTTGATGGTAAACTCCATATTTGTCAGCCTTTACTTTATGAGTCAAGTCGAATTCAGTAATTTTTACGGCTGCAGAGACTCAGCTTCAGATTTATCAGATCAGACAGGCCAAAATAAAATAATTGCCGTCTTTGTACTTTATAAGTAGGATGGAAAATTAAATTAACTACTATTAAGTAGCAATAGTAGGCTATCCTCTGAATAATGGCCCCACATTTTTTAGATAAAAAATATACCCTCAGTCACATGTCAATTGCAGACTTCCAGCGACTACCGCCACCGGCGAGAGTATCTCCACGCCGCTACATGTGGCATGGAACTGAGCTAAACTAGATGGCTGGGACTCATGAGCAAATTAAATGAAGAAAGCTGTAGGAGAATCAGTAGCTGCTGCTCGTGAGTCCCAGCCATCTAGTTTAGCCCCACTCCAGGCCGCGCGTAGCGGCGTGGGGGATACTCTCGGCGGTGGTGGTAGTCGCCAGAATTCCGCAATTTAAGTTGCTGGGAGTCAGCAATTGACATGTGACTGAAGCCCTGTTAGGGTATATTTTGGGCCTCAGTAATTTAGGACCGTTATTTAGAGGATAGCCTAATAGTATTAGTACTACAATGTCACCCATCATAGTGAAGTCATAGATCTCTCCAAGATGGTGCTGCCTTAGCCTCTCTCTTTGGTACAGACTCAGACTGTATTTATCATAGAAAAGCCCACCTCTTTATCATTATTATACTGTCTTCTCATTTACACTCTTTCTCCTAATCAAACTTTTACCTCATTGAATAATATGATTTTCAGCAAGCCATTCTGTCATTTTGTGCGTCTAGTTTGCAAGGCCTTCTCTTATTTGGTAATTATCTTTTAGCCTTACAATCTATTTAGTATTTAATAGTGAATCCAGCACTTCTGGATCTTTTTTGATTATTAATTTCACTCTGTCTTATCAGATGTTTTGTTGTTGTTGTTGCAGTATTTGCGATTGAGTGGTAATGAACACGTTGTTCTAATTCTCGGAAACTCTGCGCTAAGAAACTGGAGGTTGAGAAGAAGAAGCTAAAGAAATTTACAGTGCTGATAAGTTTTTTTTATAAATTCAGGCGGTTGAATCCCATGAGCAGCTAGCAGACAGGCAAGCCTGCTAGCTCTTGCGTCGTATCTCCCCCCCCCCACCCCCACCCAGTCACTAAAAAATATGGATTTTAAAATATTTGTCATTATTTTGCACAAAGATGATTTTTTAAATTTTATATTTTATGTAAAGGAACATAATCCCTAATTACAGAAAGAGCATATAAATAATTGCTTTCCTTTCCTGTGACCAAGAAAACGGTTTTGTTTACACAGCGAGCAGAGTTACGTCATCATGTTTTTTATGACGTCACCATAACAAAATTTTGTTTCTTTAATTTCATCCCAGATAATATCTGCAGTTTTCTTTTTTATGGTAAGTACAATCATACCCACCACATGTACACACTGTGCAGTTGCAACAAGTACCCATGCTTTTATGTAGGCCTATTTGCTACTACCCAAAGAGCTCACGTAATCAGAAACTCTGAAAAGTCGAAAGACTGGCACTCACAGGGCAGCAGGGTTAAATTCTTTTAGTCTTTTTTTTATAGTCATTACTTCTGATTGTTGTTTCTGTTTTTTATATTTTGTGAATTGCTTTTCTAAGACATTAGTTTTTGTTTTTTAAAGTTTTTTTTTAAATTTGTATGTTGTTGCTGTAGTCGTTGTTTTGTATAATATCTTGGACAAAGAAGAGGAGAAATACTGACATCTTGAAAAATCTGAACATCAAGGAAGATTGGCTAATAAACAGCATCCTGTCTCTGAAGCTGAAATATTTTGGTCATATCAAGCACCACAACAGATTGGAAAAAATTATAGCAGAAGGCATGTTACTAGGAAAGGGGGGTTTGGCAGGGGCCGATCTACACAAAGATAGGCACAGGATATAAGTGACTCCTTGAGTATGAAAGTACATGAGGTGGGAGAGCTGGCGTGAGGCCGAGTTTCTTTCAGGCAGATGAGAGAGGCGTTCTTCAAAGGACCTGCTACATGATGATGATGATAAATGATATTTAAATTAAATTATGAAAGACCACCAGCAGAAAATAATCACGATCGTAACCAACTTACAATTTCCCCCATCTAGATCTCATTTTAATCAAGATTATAATCAGCTACAATCCTCACCTCTAGGCTCCAGTATTCAACTAAATAATCACTAAAAAATCCACAGAATCAGAATTAATCACAATTGTAATAATGTATGCTAATAAACTATCCTCCAAATCTCCTTTGAGTCCCGGCATTAATCACAATTATGATAAAGTATAGTGAACTCCCGATATAATCTAGATTATAATCAACTAGATTTTCCACCATCAAGTTCTGATATATACAGATATTATCACAATTATAATCAGATATAATGTGATCTCCAACTTCGAGACCTGTTATAATCAGCAAAAGCTGTCCTGATATAATCAAGTATATAATCAAATAAAAGCTTCACCTTACTGTCCCATTTAAATCAACTTTAATCTGCGTGTGTGTGTGTGTGTGATGATGGCACGTGTGTCTAGCAAGACCATCATGACCTTTGCAGAATGTCCCTCTCATCACCAGCTCTCCCGCCTCATGTACTTTCATATTCAAGTAGTCTCTTGTATCCGGTGCTCGTTGGTCGGCCCCTGCCCCTCCTTACCGTGCCATTCCTTCTGTTATTATTCTTCCCAGTGGTCTGCCAAGACCAGCTTACAATAAAAGCCTTCCACAGTAGATGCAGGAGATTGTGCTATCCCAGTTTATATTCCCTGTGCTGTCCCAGTTTATATTCCCTGTGCTGTCCCAGTTTATATTCCCTGTACATCTTTATTTGTTAAGAACATTTTTATGGCTTCACCTTTTTGCTGTTGTCTCATTTTCAAGGACAGTAACTCTGAAACGGGAGCATTCATGCATGGATTAACCTTGAGGAAATCCAGACCACGGGAAGCCAAGATGGATGTTGACACTGAGAGGGAGCCACTTACTGTGAATGTTTGTGGCCCTGCCATGATCAAGTGTGAGCCAGCAGACGAAAATTCCCCAGATCTAGACAGTTGCTTGCAGGTAACTAGTTTTTGCTGTCTTCGCGTGATATTCTAATCACAGATACAGTTTTTGGATGTGCCAGATAAGACTGTTATAAAGGTTGAGAATTATCTGATTTAAGATGTTGTTGATCTATTCGTTAAAGTGTGAGATGACTGAGAAGGGTTGCAGGAGTAACCAGAAGAGATCAAACCAGAGATGAGGTCAAAAGAGAGAAAGTCAGCATATAGCTAATTCTAAATGACATGCAAAGACAGCAAATCAAAAATCAAATGGTTTGCCTGCTTAGAGAGAATGCCTTGTGATGCTATACCATATAAGGCATACACCAAAGAAGAGAATAGAGCACAAGGTAGACCAAGAACAAGATGGAAAGATAACATCTGAGAAACTCAGCAGCACGATGTGTCTGTGGTCGAGTTGGCCAGAAGAGCTAGAAGCAGAACCTTATGTCTCCCTTCACACCCGAAGCGGTACCGGAGAAAGTGAAGGAGAAGATTCATTAATGTTGAGAGGATCCGCTTCATTGCCCCATGTTATCATCCCATATGGCTCAGTCTCTCACCGCAGAACAGCTTAACCACCTGCCGAGAGCATCACACAAAGCACAAACTCTGTATCTCTGACAATGATCCCCCAGGATCTCCATAAAAATTGCACCTATTCACGACATGTCCATGAAATGAACCCCTGCTGTTCCAAGCGCAAGGCAGACAGCTTAACACTCTGCATTGTAGTCATAGACCATATTCATTAAAATCTCCTGGATATACTGTTGGTCATTTTGCTCGTGTCGTTTCAGGTACATTTTGGGGATGTGCCAGGTAAAACTGTCAGCTCAAAGGTGCGAGCAGGCAGAAACTTGGTAAGGAAGTCTTCACAAACACCTGAGACCTGTGAGACCAATGAGGGCGGCCAGAATCAGGAGATGGAGCAAGGTAAGCATATGTTTCTCCATTGTCAGTTTGTGTTCAGCTCATAGTCATCCAGTGAAAGGTTGACCATATGGTTTTGGGGCGCAGTATTGGGGATCAATGGAGTAAAAACACTGCCCCTCTAACTAGCACTAATTAGAAGTTAAATTTAAATTTAATGTGTGGGCCAAAAGGCGCAGATATCACAGCCTAGCTGTAAACCACATCACAACTTCCCTTTTTAGGACAAACATGGAAGAAGAAGTTGATATCAGTTTATAACTGTTGTATTGTAACTGTTGTATTGTTTATATTCTTACTATATTATCCTTATATTCTTGTATTATTTCTTTTTTGTCTTCTGCTTCAGTGTTTCCCTTTGAAAGGGAGATTGACACTGTGTTGTGGTTTACAGCTAAAGTCTGATATTTGCACCTTTTGGCCTAAACACAACCAACCTCAACAGTTCCCTAATTGGTCACATTTGAAACATGCTTGGTTGGAAGGCAGTGGGTCTTTTTTCTGTAATTTCCCCCTCAGAATGAGGCAGATCCACACAGGTTATCTGTTGTATCTTGTATCATATGAGACTGTATGTTAGATAGACTGAGATGAACCCTAAGAGGTGCGAATGTATTGCCAGATAAGATTACAAGATTTGAGAAATGTGTAGTTACCAGATAGACTATAAGATGTATCCTGAAACAAGTGAATGTGTATTTTACAGATACATCTGAAGAAAAAGTATTCAAGTCAAGACTGATTGAAGCTAAGGATTCCCTGGGACATCAGACAATTAAAATGACTATTTCTAAAACAGGCAGTCCTCACAAGCAGAAACAGAGTGGCACCGTGTCTGATGCAACCCTCTCTCCTAACACACCTGATGGAGATAACAGTAAACACGACAGCGAAGGTGAAGCCACCATTAGGAAGGAACCTGTGTCCTCCCAGCTCAAATCTGATGATGTTGGATCTGCTGATGGCGATGATGTGACTGTAGACAAGAAGAGGCACAGACAAGACAGACCTTTCAAATGTGAAGTTTGTGGTTCGGGCTTTCTTCAGAAGAATGCTCTGTCTAACCACCAAAGAATTCATTCCACAGAGAGGCCCTACAAATGTGATCACTGTGGGGCTGGGTTCAAGTACAGCAGCGGGCTGACTGGTCACAAGAGAATACACACAGGAGAGAGGCCTTACAAGTGCGACCTCTGTGATGCAACGTTTAAATATAGCAGCGCATTGAATGGGCATAGAAAAATACACACTGGGGACAAGCCGTACCGATGTGAGATTTGTAATGTTGAGTTCAGGCAGATCAGTGATCTCAACAGACACCAGAGGACACACACAGGAGAGAAGCCGTACAAATGTCATGTATGCAACATGGAGTTTAACCACCGGTTTAGTCTGACCCGGCACAAGACCATCCATACTGAAGAGAAGCCATACAAGTGTGATATCTGTGGTGTTGATTTCAATTACCGAAGCAGTTTGACGACTCACAGAAGAATTCACACCGGAGAGAAACCTTACAAATGTGACGTTTGTCATGTCGAGTTTAGTCATAAAAGCAATTTAACATCCCACCAGAGAATCCACACGGGTGAAAAGCCATACAAGTGTGAGGTGTGTGGTGTGCAGTTTAATCATAAAAGCAACTTAACCTCCCACAACAGAGTCCATACGGGGGAGAAGCCGTACAGGTGCGATGTGTGTGGGGTCGGATTTAACCACCGAAGTAACCTGACCTCACATCTGAAAGTTCACAGCGGGGACAAACCGTACAAGTGTGACCTGTGTGGCTTAGAGTTCAACCATAGGGGTAGCCTGGTCTCTCATAACAAGAAGAAACATGCCCAAGTGCTGCCTCCTACAAATGCTACAGCTGACGCACAGCCTGCTGCAAATGCCACATTAGAGGCAAGGTCCACTGCAATTGCCACATTAGAGGCACAGTCCCCTTCAAATTGTACATTAGGGGTGCTGCCTTGTACAAATACTGCAGTTGTGGTGGCGCCACCTACAAATGCTACAGTGAGGGCGCTGCCCACTTCAAATGCATCGTTAAGAGTACTGGCCCCTCCTACGAATGCTACAGGGAGATTGTTGCCCCCTACAAGTGTTACAGCAAGGGTGCTGTCCCCTGCAGATGTTGCGGCTAGGCTGCTTACTACGGCAAGGATGCTGTCCCCTACAAATGCTTCAGTTGGAGTTCTGCCCCCTTCAAATGCTACAATGGGAATGCAGTCGACTACAAATGTTACAGTGGGAATGCAGACCTCTGCAAATGCTACAGTGAGGGTGCTGCCCCCTGTAAATGCTACAATGGGAATGCAGCCATCCACAAATGCTACAACGAGATTGCTGCCCCCTACACATTCTACGTTAGGAGTGTTGCCACGTACCAGTGTTACTGTGGATAAAGATGGAGCAAACAGCAAGAAAGGTGACAGTACTATGGATGCATTTTTACTGCTTCATTCATAGACATGGACTTGAAACAGACGAAACAGTCAACAGTACAAAGATATCACATGGGAAAACATGAAACTGTCACGGTTTGGTCATGTGATATCCGCAGTGGATCACATGATATGCGCGTAATTGTACAATCATTGACATTGTGTATATAGTTACATATTTTGTACTAGTGGCATTGTATACAGAACCTGACATATGTGTTTTAGATGTCGGTATCAGTGGGAGTCATTTGAGCCCAAGTAGTAAATTGGCTCATAAACAGCATCCTGCCCTGAATGCTGGAGTATTTGGCCCATGTCAAGCATCGTAATGGCCTGAAAAAAACGGTGATGGAGGGTACAGTTTCAGACAAACAAGGCAGAGGCTGACCTCCAGGGAGGTCGATATAAGGCATTCTAGTTGCATTGGCAGTAAAAGCACATAGGGCTGGAGAATGGACGAGAGAAGGATTTCTTTCAGGCACGAGCGATGTTCTGTATTATGAAGGGGGGGCTTCCTTCAGAGTCAGAGTGCATCTGCCTGAGAGGCAAGGAACCAACAATCTGCATACACGTAAGTCAGATGTGAGGTTCTGGAACAAGACTAATGTCCAGAGGCGGAGGAGCAACCAGAACTTTCCGCCGGAGTTGCAGCCAGTGAACGTGAAGAAAAAAAGAAGATTATATGCCCCTCTTGCCTTTCCTCTGAGTGTATTCTCGGCTGAACCATTCTCCCCAGACCATAATGATCTGTTTATGCCTCTGCACTATTCACTTGCTGTCAAAGAATGTTTTACCACATCCAGCTTGTCATGCATGAATTCACCACCCAATGGTGCAGAACCAGCAGGTTTGTCTGCCTGTTCTTTTCCCAAAGCTCCTGCATACCCAGAATAAAACATGATGTGAATCAACAGCATTTTCATACATCTATATCTGTTTAATTTTGTAGCTGGGTAAAAACATGTATTCATTTCCATATTAAATAACAGTTGTGGAAATAAGCTGTGAATCAGTCTGTTTCTGTTCTACTATAATGCAGATACAAACAATACATTGTTTCTGTTTTGTCTTTTAGAGTCACATTTGCCTTTCCTGGACTTTATTCCCTTTACTGCTCCTTCTTTCTCTTTGTCTTGTGGTTTACAGCTAGGCTGGAGTATCTGTACCTTTCGGCCAACACATCCCATTTTAGCTATTCCCTAATTAGTCACCTCTTAAACATGCTTGTTAGAGGGTGGGAGCTGTGGTAATGTAGCAGCCATACACTCCATCTGTCGGTCTAAAGGTTATGGGTTCAAATCCACATCTGGTTTGTTTTTCTTGATTTAAAAAAACTATGGCCAACCTAACTGATAATGGATTCTGGAAAAAGTCCTGGGAAGTCAAGGTGGCCAGTATGATATTGACCAGATCACTCATTGGTCTTTAGAAATATGAGCCTGACAGTATATCACTGGGGTGAAAAGGGCCTTTTCCTTTTTACTTACTAGTTGGGGGTTGGGAAGAGCAGTAGGTTGTTTCATCCTCCCCAATCCCCCCCCCCTTTTTTTTTTTTTCCCCATGAAGGAATTCATTCTCCTTATATTGCTTGGTTTCATGTGACATCACCATGTGATTTAATGCTTGCTTTTGAATGACATCATCATTTCATGTGATATCACTATCATTGATTGTACATGTGACATTACCGATGTCTTGATTTCGTGTAATGAAACCATTTAGTTGATTATTTAGGTTCATATTCCATCATGCCATCAGTTAGTTTTATTCTGACGTGCCCGTTATTTTGCATTGTCGATTGATATGACTAGTTACTTAGTGGCTCCTCTTCAACCTTGGCATGTAGAGGTTTGCCAGGTGTTTCTATCGGCAGTTTTCTTGTCAGCTTTGCTCCATTTGAGTCATTTATCAGTCAGGGACTGTTGGATGTTGTCTTCCCAGCGGATCCTGGAACCTCCTGGGGGTCTGGCTTCAGAGTTGTTAGCCTTCCATGCCTGCTGTGGTAGATGATTCTCTCTCATCTGCATACACGTCCAAACCATCGTAACTGTGACTGATCCACTTGTAGGGACTCTCGATCGAGATAGATGTCACCTATTACACAAAGGCAGCTAAAAAAAAAATTCCACATTCAAAATGTGAGGTTTGCTGTTTAATTATCCAGTATATTTGCAACTATGAACCTCTTTTAACTACAGTTATTTTCTTTAACTACAGTTATTCTCTTTAACTACAGTTATTCTCTTTAACTACAGTTATTCTCTTTAACCACAGTTATTCTCTTTAACTACAGTTATTCTCTTTAACTACAGCTATTCTCTTTAACTACAGTTATTCTCTTTAACTACAGTTATTCTCTTTAACTACAGCTATTCTCTTTAACTACAGTTATTCTCTTTAACTACAGTTATTCTCTTTAACTACAGTTATTCTCTTTAACTACAGTTAATCTCTTTAACTACAGTTATTCTCTTTAACTACAGTTATTCTCTTTAACTACAGCTATTCTCTTTAACTACAGTTATTCTCTTTAACTACAGCTATTCTCTTTAACTA